AGCTGCGAAAAGAAGCAAAACTAGAATCGCAACGCTTTAACGGCCATGATCAGCCTAAGCAGAAGATCAAGTAATAGAAAGATATTTTATATTCTATAATACATTAGCTGAAAGAGAATTGTAAGGGAGCAAACGTCTCTATTTATTCTATAGAAATAAAATCGCATAGACATGATAGATACCTCCACGATTGTGGAAGTAATCGAGCAACGCTCACATGTAACGAAGAAGCCTTCTGATTGGCGCGCTGAGATGCGCTGGGTTTCCAACGAGAATTAGCAATAACCGGCTGCAATGACGCACCACGCCGGCCTCGAACAGGTAACAGATAGATTTTCAGCTGTAATTGTCTGTTCAGTAGAAGTTTTGATCTATCTTCGTGAAGTATCTGTAGTAACTGTATGGACGAAACGATTCTAGGTACGAATAAGGCTCAAAGATGATTTAATATGTTGCAATTTTTTCAAGTCGACTGCCGTCCTTGTCACATAGAGTTATCTAAATAACTAAATTAGATTATATATGTGCCGTTGTTTTGCACAATTAAGCTAGACATGTAGGGAAAGGATGGTCGTTTTCTGTTTAGAATCTTCGGCTCGTGATCGAATCACGAGTAGCCCTGCAAGAGTCTAATCCTAAGGCTCGATTTTGGCAGCCGATTTATTTTTTGCCACAGGATCTTGTCCTAGACTTGTCTCCTTTAACCGCCTTGGCCCGCTGCTAGCTTTTCTAGCGCGAGCAATGTTTTTCTGTTCTCTACACTGTAATTTTCGGCCGACGCTGACAGGCGGGCCAAGGTCACAAGACTAGGCTGAATCCGACCAGCCACGCAAAAGTGCACCACCCATCTAATGGTGATCGAAAAGTGCCGGTCGGACAGAAGCAGTCCGGCGAATAGCGAAGAAAACACATGTCGCAACGATAGTTGACGGCCGACAACCTTTTTGTCCGCTGACTGCCCACCCCCACGGCCTTTATCTATCTCGTTCGCAATAACCTCGCGAAGCATCTGTTAGTATACTACGCTAGTAATCAGAGTCCAGCGAAGGCAATGTTAAACAAGCTCAAAGTAGGGTAGGCGTCGAGACTCGAGACGATAAAATTATGCTGTGTGGTGCCCTGCTCATGCACCCGTCATACTTAGAGGAGTGATGGTATATTGGGTATGGAGTGAACAGGGCGTTGACAATGCAATTTGCTGATAAAGCTGTTACGATGGCAAAGGGCCTTAATAGGATTTTGAAACGTGGACTTAGCAAAAATTGTATTTCGAGTACTTTTGCTGCTATTGCAGATCGTAGGAGTAGGTGCGCCTGCGTCGAACGATGCGTGCGCGTGGTCATTTGTATTACAGACCGTCACCAGTTGTAGCCTTAGAAAAGGCCCTTTTTCCGAAGCAAATTTTTCCAGATATTCTTTTGCAATCTAAACTATTTAGCGGATTCGCTTTATTCAGAACCATCCCCGAAGAAACTATAAAAACAACATTAGCAGTAACATCAGACATTCTGACGTGACCCTAATAATGATAATACCATCCCTTGGTGATTGCATAAGCTCAGAACTAGTTTCGCGTCTAAATAAAGACGAATTAGAGAACGCATATGCATAATCTCACATCTGCGGTTCGAAGCAGGCATTGCAGGTTTGGGATCCAGCCATCAGAAGGATATATATACATCGCCTTAAAGTCAAAGGTCCGTCTTTTGTCCTAAAGCGTTTAGTTTATCTAGGACGAAATATGCAAATTAGGCTCGTTTTGTCCTATCTCTATAAAATGTAATTTGCGCGTCATATATTTATCCCAGATTGACACACATCGTCTGTATATATGCAAAAAGGATATATTCATCTGGAAAGAATACGACGAGCTGTTTATAAATGTGTGACAAATAAAAACAATTTAATCGGGTGCCTTTAGTTCAGCTGAAAACGCTGAGCTTTTATTAGATTCTGTGTTATTTATTGCCTTGAATACGTTGTTGAGAATTTGCCCACAAGGGCTAACTTGATACGAGTAAGAAGCAAATAAAAACATACATGATACACTAACTGCGCCCAGTACCGCGTTTGTACAATGGAAAGGAGATATATGTGTAAAAGAAAGTGTGTGAATATACTAATAATACTCATTATTATTCCGTACTTTTGTCATAAGTGATATTCTGTAAGCTTTTCATTAAAACCCTGACACAGTGACAGCCTTTCCTGCAACAGGCGATTTCTTGTTCAAGATCATCATCGTAATTGTCCAGAAAAAAAGCCTCTGCAGTTTCGGTTATGTACAATTTACACGCTAGCATTTACGTCACATAAAGCAGTGTTATATACATTATCTCCATAATAGTAAAGGTAATTTTTCCTCGTACTAAACTTTGATGAAATAGGAGTTCCACAAAATGATGCGTTGATGAGATACATGAAAATGATCAGCTTTTAGCATGGGTAATAGAGCGCTAAGTACACCGAAACACTGTTTTCACAGCGCAAGGCATGACTTCGCGTTTGTACCCACCTAATGCAAAGTGCAACTCTGCCTGTTCCGGGCAGCGAGTTCGGCTCCGGGCCTGATATGCCACTCTGGCCATTTCTGTTTATCGGAACAGTCCCTACTAAACAGCTGTCTATCCTAACGGTTGCAATAATTAACTTCAGCATGGTCAAACAGTGCGAAAGGGGACAGCGTGTGTGAAGATAACGCGGCGAGCAAGGAATCGAGAGTAACGCACGTATCAAAAGACGTCGTCTAGACTAGTTTGGGGACGTAACTAGTAAAGTACAAGTCCTCGTTTATGTAGCGGAGATTCTTACAGAAAAAGGTAAATGAAAAGCCCTGTTTCTGACTATTGCGAACGAACTACACTTAAAGTCGCTCTGAAGAAAACCGTATGGCTAGACACCAGCTTAAAACGTTTTGTTCTGATAGGTAACTCTAGTTTAGCATTTCGTGTTTCGCCTGCCCATACAAATACGATCTACCTTTTAATAGATTATGTTTAGTGGCAGCATCCGCCTTTTCTGCTAGAATCAGGAGCGTACGTTCAAATCAGATGGCCGCTATGAAATAAGTCAACACGCTGAGGCACTGTATAGTTGAATGCAGATCCCATTGCATTGAGGAATTCGCAGTGGCGACACAGCTGCTTTTAGTTCCAACAAGTTGAGGAAGACAACTTTCGGAGGGGATGTTACAAGTTGCTGGGCGACCCAGGGACCCCTCAATGTATTCGCTACGAATGACTGTTGATTGTACACACCGGCTGAACTATACCGAATGAACGCGAAGATGGAGCTGAAAATTGGATCTGGACTAGTTAAGCGCACTGGTATTTGAGGTTCAAGCTTGAATTGTCTTTGACCAAAATCGATGGCACACGTTTCCTGTTTGTAGCTAACTTATCTAACTGCCAGATAATCCCAAAAAAAAACCAAATGAAAGTGTAGTTGTGCTACAACATCAGTCTACATACTACTTCCCACCACACGGTATAATAACCCGCCTAGGAGACACCTCTAAGGCGACATGCCTGCGCGTAACCTACGACAACACATGATTACAACTTATAAACTTGTTTACTTAGCTAAAAAAATGTCCAACTTATTTTAACTCTTGCTCATTGCTCAAAATGTCAGCTGATTATATTTAAGATCACACACCTCACAGGAGCAAAAAATTATTTCAGCAAAAAAGTAACATCAGCATTACTATCACAGTCAATTGCTCTATTTTTGTTTTTATACTAATTAAGTTCTTATCACACGATGTTTTTCACCATTCACAAATTCTACTATTAATTTAATCTTATATAACTTCATCTGACGTACCATATATTTACAGAACTGTAGGTAGCAGTGTTCCCGAAGTAAACCCCGAAATAGGTTTCATTCCTTAGGTCACTCGCTCATTGACTTCCATCAGTGACGCGCTAATAACTCTCGCACATAATCATAACATATAATAGGTAAAATCATTTCCGTTTTAACGAGTTGCTTATATTAGCATTGCTAAACCCCTAAACCATAGCAACTTATTAATAATTAATGACTGCTGAATCTAATTATCTAGTATGGTAGAGTAATCGAATTGGTCCTCGATAAAATTCGTAATTATATGATTTTACTACTGCTAAAATATCCTATTAGGATACCTATTAATTATATAGATATCTGTTAAGTATAGTCGTTGTGCCTACACCAATAGAGAGCCTGTTCGTTTGTGCAGATGACCTGATCGTCAAGTTTTTTTTTGATTTTATAGAAAATTTATACTAGTTGTTATATCTTGTTGCTCATATCGTATAGCTAATAAATAAAACAATAGCTGCTACGATCATATTTAGTTATGGCGAAATTATTTTCTAACAACATGTATTTTGTCCGCTATCTCAGTAACTCTTAATAACAACATTATCCTTTGATAACAAACCTTTGTTTTATTCGAAATAAAAATTCTGACCTTATACCTTTGCATAGTCTTAGCAAGTCTACTGAATTTTGGTTCAACAGCGCAGTTCTGTCTGCTGCAACAAATCAACAAGCATTTATTATTTGGTGCAACGTGCAAAACTAGATGTAGCTTCACCCTTCGCCATGTCTACCCCAGGAAGTGAGGGTTCGTTAGCATCCGTTAGCTTATTGTGTCCAGTTGCACGCTATAGTTTTAAGGGGCGATGAGAAGGCGGGGACTCCATTCGATAGATCTGGGTGCACAACTTATATTCGTTGTTTTGACGTATGAGTTAACCGAACTCGTCCTTCATCGAACTCTCCGCTGATCTACCTCTCGTCGTTGGGTGGCCGTGCGATTGTTGCGTTGCTCCATGAACCGTGCGCACGATACTCGATCATTTGGATGGCATCCCCAACCTCCAACATCCCGCGGCTTCGCTGACGCTATACGGCATCCTGTCGTTTCGTTCTGCTATCTCTCTTTATCTCTGTATCTGTCTTTTTCTTCTTCAATCTTCTGTGTCTATGTGCTGCACTTGTATCGGTTCCAGACAGAAGAATCGAGGACACATCCCATTACGCAGGCCATTCCAGAGAATTCGGCCGTAAGTATCCAGTTCGAGATAAACATTGGATAACTGAATTCGTATCGCAAGGAACTAGCGAAAACAACTTCGGGAAACGGTAAAAGGCGACACACACCGGCCAAACACTGTGTTAGGTCTAGGCCGGAGACTGCTTATTCTGAGTACAAGTATAGTTCAAATCTGAAATCCCTGAAACGATGAGTACTGTCATGATAGTCAAGCGAGCACTACGCCGTCCGCTGCAACTCTGTAACACGTGATGGTGACCGCAGCTTTAATCTGATAGACTTCAACAGAGAACTCTGAAACAAGAAAAAAAGTAGAAGAAATTCATTGCGAAAGCGTGGTTCGTTATGTCAACGATCGGAAAGCCAGCTTCCGTATTGTCGATACCGGCTTTTGGTGACAGTTTTTTAACGTCACTTTCATGTGAACGAACCCAGAGTCTGGACATTCAGCAATTGTACATAAACAATCACGCAATTTTCGTCAATTTGTCAATATTTTCCACCATAGTATTTATTTTACGCAAATAGATCGTGACTCGTCAATCTTTCAGAGTTGTCAAGGTCGGCAGTATTGTGCTATATGCAGTAGAATTAAACGTCACCGCCCACCTCGTAGCGAAATACTCAATACGGCTGCAAGATACTGTAAAGCTTCTTGAGTCGTATTGATTATGTAGTCATTAAAGGGAATCATATGTTCCTCAGGGGGTATTCAATAGTGCGCAACGAATTGTCTTAAGATCGTCGTTTACACTGATAAGTTTATTTGCATTGATTTGACAAGACGTTGCTGTTCGCCCTCCACTATTATTAAGATGATTATGAGACGATTTTTTTATTGCCATGGCATGAAGCTCGATATTATCGCTTACGCATGCGCTGATCTTCGCTTCCGTTGTGCGTCTTTACTATGTAATGTGGGGGGGGGGGGGGTCTAACAATGATTAGCGGGAACGTATACGACTAGCATTGGCATCGCAGCAAATGTATAGCATACCAACGTAAGCTCTACAAGCACACAATTGAAAATCATCATCCGGCAGCATAATTACTATTAAGATGATTTGTCCGAAACTGTCTAGCTACTAAGAACAGCCGTTGTTACAATAGGCGGTACTAAATAGATTTCGATTAGCGTGTTATTAATGTAACATATGTATTTATTTAGCTTTAGAACTTCTTTATATACAGTGATCTGTCGAAAATGTTTAAATACACTACTATATCGTTAAAGACAATGACCGCCGCTGTAGATCGTTGGAGAGAATCGAAGTTCCAGTATCAACCGTTAGTGTCGAAAAATTTATAAGCACGTGGACAGTTCCTTTGTTTTGATATATCAAACGGGCGAGGCACACTAATTGCATCATATGATGTAAACACAGACTATATGTACTTCAACAATAACATCTACATAACGCGTTTCAATGGCATTATGACCATGTCTGGTACGTTTACTTTCCTTGTAAACACAAGTTGCCAAAGCAATCAGTCGCGACAACACCAGATGCAATAGCACTCTCTACTGCATCGAGTCCGTTTGGGAATAAGACAATTCTTGCTCCTCTTGTGTGTACGCGTCCTTGTCTCCTTAGTCGTAGGAATTCAACGGCTGAATTGAATGCTATATTGCGTGCCTCTTTGTGCTCCGTATCCCCATGACGGCCGCTTTTTTTCGTCCAGAGTTTTGCCTTGTCAAGCAAAACCTTGCCCTCGCCCTAGTTTAACTAGCGAAGGCTAGCGCTAGCCGGTGAATAGTGGGCACGGGTTCCAGTAAAATAAAGTCGAGCAACTCCAACACCTCAGCTTCGAGCTAGGGCCGGCGGCGCTTCGGACGCTGCTGAAAACGCTCTAGCGATGAAGGGCGTCGCGCTAGGTAGAGGATGCCTAGTTCGTAGAGGAAGTCAATGCAACGTTTCAACTGGAACAGTTATTCGCTGGCAGCGCCCGCAACGGTAGCAATTGAAGGGCAGGCCACTTCCTTCTTCGTGTATTTCTCTTTTTTTTCCTGTCCCTTTGCACTCGCAGAAAGCTGATCGATTTCAATCTCAGTCTAACCAGTAGCTTTAGCTCAGGTAGGGTCTCTCTATACGTTTCGATAGCGGCTGCTTGGTTGTCGATAGAGGCTTGTCCGGTATTGTCCCAGGCAAAAGCTCTTTTGGCTTCTGTCACTCATTTCTGGCCTAACCTTTGTCTCTTAAAGTTGATGCTGTGAGGACATAAGTCTGCATCACTTGAAGTTATCCAATTCTCTTAAATTAATGTATACAACCCTGGTATACGAGTAGGCTAAGATGAAGAAAACGAAAAGATGTCTGTAAACGAAACGACGATTTTTGTCAAATACTAGGAGTTGCTGTTGCCTTTGAAGGCGCCCAGAACCGGAGCAGAGGCTTAGATCCGCTGGCCACACAATCGATAAGTTCTCGCGGGGGCCAAAATAGTCAACCATGATCGAAGTGAACTCTTTATGAGAAGAGATATTAACTACAAAGTACTATTCTTCCGTTCGACTTTCTAATTTCACATACAGTTATGTTTGTTAGCAGGCAGAAACAGCACAGCGGATTGCCGCGATACGACTAGGAAATTTTACAGAGCCTTTTTTTGGTTATTGTTGTCTACAAAAAACGAGTCATCCTATAAACTGTCGTTGTTCCCTTCAGTTATACCGATATTATTAATAGATTAGGTAACAGTTAAGAAAGTACGATTTGACAGTATAAGACAGGTGAATTATGTAACGGATTGATACGCCTGGCTATAACAAGATACATGTAATTATACGACTCAAATGGAATACATATAATAGGTATATTACAATCCTCAGAAGTGCATTTTTTTTTTATTACAATATTAAACTGCGAGACAAACAAAAGAATAATCACTGATTCGTGATCCATTACTATTACATAAAATTCCACTATCACCGAGTGACACAGCCATTCCGAAATACGTTCCTTAAAAAAAAAACAGCATTTTTACAAGGTTTGCATGTATTTCTGCGCTCAGAATCGGCTGTTTACGTAATTGACATTAATCTGGTATACTGTCCACGATTCCATAAACGTGTCGTCTAACAGACACACGTTTTACCACAACGTGCATCGTATGTCTAACTCGCACGGTGTCCCCAGTCTGGTGGTGAACGTGCAAACACAGCCGCCGTATTTCCGTATGTCTGCTTTGTGATCCTGACGCTGTCTTTTCGTGTTTAACGCATATTTGTTACGAAAGATGTCTATTTAATTTGTCGACAGAATGTCGTTCTTCGTAATGACTGTCGTGTACGTCTGTTTCTCTGTCCTCTGCTGAGCTACATTAATGATTTATCTCATTGAATGTTCACTCTACTCGTAATACTAATATTTGTGTTAATACTGGAGTTGACAGAGCGATGTCTATAGAACGGTGTCGTCTTCCTGTTTTGTGTCCCCAATTCGATATAAGTTATTAGTATATTAAGTTCATATACATGAAATTTCGCTCCCGATTACGTTTCCGTCGGTTTTTTTTTCTTCTTTTTTTGTTGTATCTGGCAATGTCCTTTTTGCTGTCCTATTCCGTATGGCTCTGTCTCGTGTGTGCGGTTCTTGAAGAGTTGCGGTGCTAAACGTAGGTTTATTTGTGTTGCATTTCAGATCGACGCCAACGAGGTCAAGGTAAGAGAAGTAATTGACGAAAGCCTAAACAAAAAAAACTTCAGTCTGTCTTTATAGAAGTCCCAGAGTAGTTATCAACGGCAGGGGCTCTGGCGAATCGAAAAGCTTTGCCAAACTCAGAAAGCCAAGAAATTGTTCTGCTGTTAAATGCTCGAAAATGCAATAGGAGACTATATAAGAGATCTAACAGTAAAAAAAGATGTCTCTACGATATCCTTGTCCTCTCTACGACACGATAGATTTTTTTACTCCTCAAAAAGGAGGGTGTAGGCAAAAGAGTGAAAAGAAAAGCCGATCTTTAAATGTCACATGGCTGGTAGTTGCTATCTATCTCTGTCACCTCATCCGCTGTCCCGTGAAATATTTAATCGGTCGATTGGCACCCGGGGCAAACACTGTACTGCAGAGTGGTATAATCAACATAAGATTGTGTTAGAAAAACCAGTACATATACGTTTATCAATATATTGATATATAATTATGTTCCTTAAATAGCGACAACTAACTATAGTTGTTAAGTCCTACTCCGCAGCAGCAGCATCACGGGCTGGCATCCATTATCAGCATTTAATTACATGTGTGATACAGTCAGGGCATCCTTTGCCCAACTCTTGCCATTGATCCCGGGACCGGCAAAATGTCGAAGCCCTGCGACCAAATTACACGTTTCATACAAGGAACTGTGGACAAGTGACTGGGCTGGTTGGACAAATTATTAGCAAGACAACGAAAAATGTCATGAACAAAAGCATTTCCTCTTCTTCGTATTTCGTTTGCCTATTTTTGGTACGCGGTGCACCTTTAACAATTTGGGGCATTTCCACAAATGCACGACACTTTTCTCGAATAACTGGATTCGATTAGTGTACAGTGAGAGCTGTCACATTGTTTTTGGGCAGAGCCGAACGAACCCCAGTATTAAACAGCCCCACAACAATAGCAGGTTGGCTAACACCGGCTGTGAAACTCGAAATTTTTATTTAACAGATTGTAGGTTAGTCTAACTGAGAGACTAATCATTTGATATTTATCATTATTTCGATCTAAATGATATGGAATAATCGATAATAATGATATGGAATCTAGCAGAGCGCTACTATGGTAACGATAATCTTCTTTTACGCAATGAATTAACTGAGTACTGCAAGTATATGCTAACTAGCATTCCGGTAGCAGACGCTTAAAGGTTCGAAAAGTTCTTATGATATCGTTGCTTCTTCTAGTCTGTTTAATTATTGCTATCATCTTAAGTTCTTCTTAAATATCTTGAAGGGAGTTCTTCAGTATATATTGAGACTACAAGGACCAATTTGCCAGGCAATAGCAGACAGATAATAATTGGATACGTCTAATTGAATGATACTCATATATAGATAGTACTTCAGGTTTCCTTCTACAATCCCAGGTAACACTCAAGTTACAGACAGCGCCCTTACATATCTCACGCTTGGAGAACAATAGTATAGATAGTGAGTAATATCGCGAAATGACAGATTAAGATGGATTGGTTTTCGTGTGATAATGCTGGCGTCGTTGTTACGGATGCCGGACGTAGATGAGTGGATGGCTATTAACTAGAATTTGCAGACCTGCTATTATACGTCTATGTTTGACTGAATCGTACTGCACTGGTCGTTTCTTTTTGCGCTGATTCGCCGTTATGGGGTGATAGACGCTAGTCGAGCTTGTGTGTGTGCGATGGCTGATGATATTATTATAGTCAACATAGTTTGAAGATAATTTAATATTGAATCAGAATATCCTAGATAACTGTTATCAATTCAGTTGATTGTATACACGTCCGAGGGGCAGTAAATACCTAGTAGAATAAATATCTTTTTGAGTACACATTTTTTCAACCCAGTTTACCAGGTCTCGTCTTCCACAAACTACTTGCTAGCAGTCCTCTTTGCCTTCCCCTATGTTGCGCCTGTGGGTTTCGCTTTCATATACTCTTTCCTGTGTCTTGTATGCTCTTACCGGCTGCCTAAGGCCCACGTTGCACAAGTCGTAATAAGTCAGCAAATCAGATTTTTCTCGAGGACGATCTCGGGCTTCGCGCTCTCGTTTTACTACGCAGGGAAGCAGGGTAACAGTAACTGCTGGGGCAGCTTCAACATCGCCTACAAGAGTGGCCGTCATTTCAATGTTCCTTTAGTATAAATAAACAAGTAGGCTGCGTTACGCTGCTCAAGGGGGAGCAAAGAGAGTAAATTGGGCGAGCGAGCCAAAAATGGGTCCTTGATCCCGTTTTTGAAGGCAATTCGATATTCACATAACTTTGAGCACGCATACGCATGATATCGGCACTGTCTGTCATTGATATGGTCAGCACTACCGCCATTACTACGGATGAAACGGGCTATTGCTAGAATTGAACTTTCTCTCTCGGCGAGAACTCGTCTTCGGTATCCGCCGGCGAGATACTCAGCACCGCCGCAAAATAATGGCTCGGGAAGGGATTTTGATAAGCCTCCAGATTGCACAGCTTGGAGGACAAGCCACAAATCCCTGTGGAAGTGATGGCTGGGAAAGGGAGGCTATTGCTTGCGGCCGACGGCAGATGCGTAAGAGCAGAACGAAACGGTCCTTCATTGAACTTCGTTGAGCTTACTGAAGTAAATGGATCACTTTATATGAGAAAAGTAATACTGACGGAAGCAGCAAATTATTGCTCTTTGACAGTATTAAAAATAAAGATAACTTGTAGCTTTATGTGGGAGGTGCATACAGCAAGTTCGATGTATCTGAGAGAATTTCACGTGCAGCGTGTAGATAGAAAAGGCAATTGCGCCATACATTTGCTCAAAACCTTATCATTAGCAAATTGTATAAACAAACATCAAACGAGTCAGAAATATATATGAGGCTTTTAAAGTGTTTTACGAATGGATGTCTGCTTACCTGTTCCTGTACAGTTTTGTAGAGGGGTACAAGTTTCTTAACTTAAGAGGTAAAAATGAAAGGCCGTTTGTCCATATTGAAATAGAAAATGCGTTCACGAACCGTATGAGATATCAGCTTACATACGCGCATGGCACACTAAGCTGTCTCTAGAGAAACAAGAATCCTGATGAAGAAACAAGGTCCTGCACTTATGAAAGATATTCGCGAGATATCGGGTGGTTACGCTCGCTGGTCATTATATTTTGCACCCACATTGAGAAGAACTTGACATGACAATTTTTGGGATACTGACAACAATTCATAAACTATATTTTTTGCCATTTCGCATATGAATTTATTCATTTTTATGCTACTTGCTTTAGGAATTTACAGTAGATGACCAGGCGACTAGACTCGATCGAGCTTCGTCGTTGTCGTTAGCCATTAGCATCCTCAAATTTCTCACAGAGTTTTTCGCGCCAAGTAAATGCCATCCTTGGCAGAGCGCACAATTTCCATAAGGCGATCATTAATTCATTTACAGATAAACAAACAGCGATGGAACTTCCTACTGGCAGCAGGAACCCCGTACTGCAGCTCTTCTAGCGTCGTGTGTTGTACGAAAAAGCGAAACAAACTAGACAATGACAAAGTCTTAAGGCAAAGAAAAAAAGGAGCTTGGTTGACCTAACTGCAGCGAGCCTTCATTGGCTTAGCCTAAACTATCATGACCTATTTTGATATGGTTGCTGCCGCGGGTCTAGTGAAGAGCCTTTGCAGAGTCGTTTAGCCGTTGATCAACAAGTTGCCCATCAGCGTTTGTCGTTTTCGAACAAGCGAGCTTATACTCTCAATATTACTCCCCAACAGACACGTAAAGTCAGGGGTTTGTTCTGTTCATGAAGTGGCGAGAACTTGGAGCAGTAACTAATATGCGGTGTGCATGTATTTAAATTTGCGTGTGATTAGATTCAGCGAAAATAAAGAAAACGACACTCAGGTCACCAAAGGTTGGGGGCTGAGGAGGGACGAGCAACAAAGATTGAATTCGCAGAAAGTAAAGACCCAGCTTCGCTTAAAAGTTAAATCGTGCGCAGAAGGACGCCCTGTGGGACGGCGGAACCGTGTGTGCCTAAGCTTGTCTATATTTTTATTTACGTCCGTCTATGTGTGCGTTGTAGTGGCCAAAAGTTGAGTGGATGTATACTATAGAACTCAATTCGGCTATAGGTTCTGGTGGGGTTTCTCGAAGGCTTGTTGTAGGGGGCACAATGCCCTGAGTCTATTTTACAGCTCGATTTCATTCAGGCCACTGTGGTGATCACTAGTTATGGTGCCATCTGGCAAAGCCGATAACGGACGCGACGCGTGAGTCAGGTTTTTTTTTTTGATTTATTTCGAACCTTCTTTTGTTTTCTCTTACATAGATCTCTCTCAGTTTTGTGGCTCTCGTCTTTCAACATTGGTCCTGACGGGGTCCGCTGATGCTCTCGTATCTCGCCGCTGCTGACTTCCACCGGCTGGTCAAATTGAGTAATTTAATAGAGCTTGCTAATATACTCAGCTGACAAAGGACCAAAGTACGAATGACTCAGAACGAATTGTCCATCCCTCGAACTTGACAGGAGTGATAGAGAAGTAATAACTTCTTCTACAAAAACCATTTAAAAAAAAACTGCTAACATTGCTGATCTTTCTGAAGCTTTCAAATAACGAACGTGAAGAATAACAAGGACGAAAAGGCCTCTAAAACCCGGGTCCCAGTTCAAGGACGAAGATACGCCGTCTGTAATGGGGAGACAATACCACGAAAAGTAAAAAATCTCAGTAAATCGCAAACGGCGTCCGCGTTCACTGTTAGTTTGTTGGCTGCAACAAAGGGTAAAGGAGATCAGCTGAAAAATTTACCCCGGGTTCGAGTGACTTTACGAACGTAGTGATTTATGTCGCCTTTTTTAGAGGCTTGAATGAATCTACATTATAATGAAATAGGAAATTTTAGATCTAATTTTAGCCTTTAGATTTAAAAACATATGGGTCTATATATACGGGATCTCGTTTTATGTTGGAATTTTTTTGGCAACTAAACAAAACTACTTAGGATGAAGCTTAAT